TAGAAGCCCCAAACAGGTTTTCCTTCAGGTTAAAGAAAAAAACAAAAACAAAAACAACCAACCCCCCAACTGTAACAGAACCCCATTAGCTTGACATTGAGTATGCTGAATGCAAGTTGGCTTAGGTCACCACTATCTGCTGTAGAATTTCAGATGATGAAAGCAAATTGGCCTATGGCAAAGAATTTGAAACCTAAGCGAGATGTAAATTTGTAAAAATTTCATCTCTTTGGTGTGACAAAGCACATTCCCTCCAAGTAGGTGCTTCTGCTTCACTCATTAAAATCGATCAAAAGGCGGGGGACAGGAAAGGGATGGGGACCAATCTGTAGGTCTCCAGTTAAGACTACTTGATTTTTACCTCCTTGAAATATCAAGCTAACAAGGTTTTATTAGATCAAATGTTTGTATAATTCCCATGTAAAAAATTCTTACACATGTTTTTATTTAGGTCTTATTATAATGTGTGAAAACGGATCACAAAAGAAGAGGTGAATGATGTAAGCCAGGACTTCCAATAAAATTAACCCTTTGGATTGTTGATTCCCAGTGTACTTTGTGGAAAGGAATAAATGCAACAAGATTTTCCCCTGAAGATGATTTCTCAGATATAGCCATAACCCGTTATCAAGTGAGTTTAGATCAGCTAACTGAGCAAAGAATTCACCAGCAAGTTATTTCCAAATCTAAACCTCAGGATGGGCTGGGGTCAGGCCCCAATCACCTGCATTCAGTGGCCATCATGAGACTTCTTGGGTGTCTGGCTATAGTCAATGTGAAATAAAAAACACCTTAAATCTTACACCAAAATACAGGCTTTAACTTGAAGTACGGTTTTAGCTTTTTTTTAAATAAGACATGGGGGCGGGGGGGGGGGGCCAGCGGCGCAGAAATCAAGTCTGAGACACAACAACACTTATTTCGGCAAGATAGCCCAAAACCTAAAAAGCGTAAGCTAAGTATCCACATGTAAAAGGCATTAAAGAACAAACTATATTATCAGGAGAAAATCCACAATGAACAAAAAATACAGTATGCCTTTAACATTTTGAAACTGTAATTAAATCACAAGAATAAAAGTTGAAAAATGATGCTCAGTTTTTGCTAGAGATTAAGTGCACCTTTTCCTGCTTCCCCCAAATAAAATCATACCTTACTATATAATCACACCCTAGTTTCAGAATTTTCTCAGTCAGTACAAAGCAACAGCTACATACACATAAAATGCTTATTTGTTAATGTAATAATTCCCCTGGCTCATCCAACGTGCAATGCACATGACTCCAAAGACTACAATTTGGGGTAAGTATACACAAACTGAAAAAACACAATTCAAGTTTCAAAACCTGCTCTTAAAATTATTTATAGGACACTCAAGTCATTTTTACTTCTCAATAAGATAAAGATGTTGCACTGCCATTTGATTATCAGTCCACCACAGCATGGGAAGAATGTACATTACCAGATGCCAATTTGAGGGACTGAACACTCGAAAGTACTGTATTTCTCAATGGCTGATTAAGATAATTACAAGTAAGCTTATGTTTACATTCTGCTGAGGACATCTTTACAGTCTCAGCATCTAACAAAATCTAACAGGCTCCAAGAATCCTATCAGGTTAATGATGGTGCGGTATTGTAAAAAGGAGCCATTTCAGCTTAAGTCATTCAGAGCCAAAATCTGAAGAATGACCAAAATCAAATCTTTATTTAACTGTATAAATGTGATCCAAATGTGTCCACCACTAATTTTTCAAAAAGAAACATGCTATAAATAAGCAAACTATATCTGCTCACTGATATGTGTATGGACTCCCTAGATGTCTTGTTGGGCTTAATTACAGACCACTCACAGCAATACATTTTTAGTAGAAAGTGTAGCATGATGTTAAGCCATTTTAGCTTTTGCACATACATGTTGCACTTCTGGCTGATGATGCAGAAAGATTCGCAGCATTACACTGTTAAGCTGGGCAGCACCCACCCCTTTAAATGGCATCAATATCAATGTCATCATCCTTGTTGTCAGACTTCACAGCTTCAACTTTAGGTACACTGGCAGTCTTCGAATACACCACCTGATAAAACAATTTTATTGATTGTAATTCTTTATCCAAACAAACTTAGTTTTAAAAATAGTAATACAAATCAATGGTCAACGAAAAAGGACTACCCATACACAGCCCCCCCCTTTTTTTTTTTTGAGGAAGTGTGGGGGGGATGCGGAAGAGCAGCAGAAGCAGAGAATCCCAAGTAGGCTTCATAGATTTCATGCAGGGCTTGACCTCAAAACCCTGAGATCATGGCTTGGGTGGAAATCAAGAGTTAGATGCTTAACCAACTAAAAGCCACCCAGGCGCCCTACACACTTGGCACAAAAAGTTTTTGTTATTTGAAAACTAAGTTCTCTCTCAGCCTGATAGCATCTTAATTTTTATGGACAACTAGCAACTGTATACTCAACCTGCCATTAATTAAATACTCCTTTGAGAAATATTTATATATCTATTTACAATCATGTCTAGGGGCAGGAGAGATGTCCCCTAACCTTTACAAAATTGAGACCATGTTTTGCTGCATCTAAAAATTTTAAGTTACTTGATTATCATTTTATAACCCCAAACCCTAACACAGTTTACCTCGATATTCTCATCTTCATCATCTTCTTCACCACCAGAAGATTCCTCTTCTGCTTCCTTCAACCACTTTATAAATGGTTCTGCTTTGACACGAATCTCTTTGGCAAGATCTTTTGAGACATATTTCTTAGAGGCCTAAAAAATGTTCAATACAATTTCCTTAGTTTGAGAAATCTAAAAATTAATTTATATAACCGCCTACACTGAGCTCTTTGAAGGGACTGGGTCATATCCTAATCTTGACTCAACAGATACATTTATTCAGCAAACAACTAACAATGAATCTGAAAAAATCCAAATACTTTCTTCCATTATTACTAGAAAGTTGCCATAGTGGTAATCACCTATAAGTTAATACCAGGGACTGCATTTCATATAGAAGAAACTCAAGTATCAGAAGTTACTTCTTCCTAAATTGCCCCAAAACTGTCTCAATAAAACTTCTGATCTTCAAGAACCTGTTTCTATCTATCTATTCCCCACCTTTTCTGACCAGCTGATGATGACTTCTTCTTCCAACAGATCTGCATCATACATCTCCTTCAAGATATGGGGAATCTTGGAAATGAGCTGAGCTTGATGCATTGCTACCACACACTCCAAACCATGAAGAAGGTATCGTTGAGCTTTTTTGTTGTTGTGACAAAACTGGAAATAAATGTGTTGGCATTAACAAGCTTTTAAAGAAGTTTCAAGTATACTCATTGTCTCAAGATCGTTCCTTAAGGCTATGGCCTTAAGCACTGGCTCAAAAAGTCAATACATAAAAATCTGTGTATTACATTAACTATAAGAAACTATATACAGTATTTTCCAAATACTCCTGTGCTTGGTAAGGTTAGATCAATTATCTCCAGTTTTAGGATGACAGAGAACACGTTCCCAGAGTCACACAGCTCTAATCTCATTTATGAACCTAAAATAATTTGCTTACTCGTAGGAAATGGCGCCTGTATTTCTTAATTTGTTCTCTAATCTTCTCATTAAAAAGAACTTCAGTCAAAACAAGAGGACCCATGGCTTTTACATCCAGTCTTTCTGCTTCAGCAACAATTTCTTTGTCTGATGAGTCAATAATACCTTCTTCTTTCTTTTTCTGCAAATAAAAGGAACCAATTCAGTGAAATGGAGACACATTTTGCTCTTGAGATGCCAGTTAGTCCCCACTTTCATGGACTTTTTTCTTAATTTATTATAGTTTCAGGATTTTTCAATGAAAAGCACATGCCAAAGATAGTACCTGGAACCACCTCAGGAAGTATTTGAAAGAGTAAAATTAGCCTGGAGTTTGAGTATTCAAAAGATACCATGAGGAAAAGTTACACGCCAGGTAATCAGCATAAAGTAATAAACACCTTAACAAAAACCCAAGGCTTGAAACAGATTATCGAGAAAATATTTAAGTACTCTTGAACCAAGTTATTTTACCTTAACAAAATCAAACAGAATATTGACCCGCTCTTCAACAGTCCTTTCCAAATCATCACTGAGTGTCAGAACTTTCGCGTGATCACTGATTTCATCCATTCTGCGTCTCTGTGCTTCCTCAGTTGTATCCTCCCCCCAATCATCATCCTCCTCTTCTTCCTGTCAAGAACAAGTATGCTTAATGCCTTAAAAATGCAAAAAATACTCCTAATTTCTAGTCATCTTAATGGCACCGGGTTAATTTTCCAAAAAAATAAATTGGACCTACATTAATTTAATCAACCACACATAACCAGGAACCAAGATGCCACTGCAATGTTAAAACTGAGTTTCCTTATTTCTGCTCCCCTCCTCCACCAGGTAGGTATCGTATTTCACCCAGCTTAAGTGCTCACCACACCTTCACCCCAAACACTCACCGCAGCATGTGGAGGAGGACTGATCTCATTTGGTGGTGGGGGCGGGGGTGTCTCACTGCTGGACACAGAACCATTTTCCTTGTCTTTGCCCTTCCGGTTTTTCTTTTCCTTTTCTTTCTTCCCTGTACCACTATCACTATTCTCTACAGCAAAACAAAGAAAGAAGTTTAACACTATGGTTTATAGTACACCTCACGAGAAACAGTGAGGAACCCTTGCCTCCTTTTGCTTTGGCACCTTCCCTCAGAAAACCTTACGTGAACACAATGCTACTTGTAATTCTAAGAGGAGTCACAGACCAAATTCATCCGCTATCATTTCCTATATAAAAAAAACTCAGGTAAGGATGGAATGTCCACAAATAGAAATATTAACTGTTCGTTAAAATTAAGATGAAATGGTGGTATCTCAGAAAATGAGGTGGTTAGTGAAGGTTGGCACTCCTGGCCCTCTCATGCCCCATGAACACAAACAAGAGCACATCTCAACTGCACTTTAGCCCACAGCTGTTAACACTGTTTAAGTCTATATAACAGTTGCTCTCATGGAGGAGAACACTGGAATAGGTTAGACTTTATTGCTATAGCAAGCTCAAATTGTGTCAGGCAACTTCCATCATCTGCCACAGAGTGTTGCTTGCAATGTTCTAAAGCCATTTATTTGGGCTTAACGAGCCAGGACCCTGGTTCACAAAACAGTATTCCAGAAGTAGATCGTTTGCTGGGATCCCACCACCATTTTTTAAAAAAGATTTGAGAGAGAAAGAGAGCGAGCACGCTGCACGGAGAGGGAGAAGCAGACTCCCCACTGAGCAGGGCTTGATCCCAGGACTCTGGGATCATGACCCCAGCCGGAAGCAGTCGCTCAACTGACCAAGCCACCCAGGTGCCCGTTTTACAATATCCATTTCACCTATTCTAAAAGGACAGGTCTTAAAAATCGACGACAGAGCAGAGCTTAAGTGGCAGCCTGTTCTTTTACCCTTAACGGTACATCTTTCGTAATCACAGATTCAAGAGAACAAGGCAAAAAAACTGGATATTCCTTATATCCTAGTTTCACAGCAGCAAAAAAACTTCCATTTTGTTTCCAACAATTAGCTGATTACATTAAGATCTTACAAGTTCATCATAAAGACTTACCAGGTGGGTTTTTGAGAATGAACGTGCAGAGTTTATGATGTGTGTCAAGCATGCCTCGATAGCCACAGGCTTTACAAGAATTACCTATTGTTTGCTTCTTTGGATTGACATGCTGCCAAAAAAAGGGAAGTAAAAAGAAGTATGTCATCTATGGCCTATAATAAAATTTTGCAAAGAACAAAAGTTAAAGTATCTAACCGTAACTCCACCTTAATGTGTAAAAGTATTTTTTCACAAAATGACCTAAACACAGTTTCACAAAATGATCTAACTTAAAGATTTTGCTGCTTTACGTTTTATTTCCAATTAAGTTTGCTCTGCCTTGTCAGGAACATACATTTCATGATATCACAAAAGCAGATATGTAGTTTTTCCTCAAAAAGACTCACCAGCTCTGTTTCAGGATTCTCACACTCAGGACAGAGAACAAATTTTTTAATGAATCCATCCAACATGTCTTGCAGCTTATTCGCCTCATGAGATCCATTGACAATGTAACGGTCATTCTTAACATCAAACTGGGTCTGTGCTCCCAGCTCACAACCAAAATATTTGGTGGGATCTATTGGGGGGGGGAGGGGAGAAGGGAAAGATTAACTAAATCTTTGGCTACTCATTTGCCCTTATACAAATATCCCTCCCTTACACTTTTATACTGGATTGAAATGTATTGTTTGAGTAGTTTTGTTTAGCCAATAGCAACTAATAATCAACTGGTTTTCAAGCACAAGATTCCATTAACCCTGAAACTAGCATACAACTCAATCAAAACACACAGATCAAAGTTGTCACAACCATATCGATGCTATGCTTTTTCAGACTCCTTAAGAAGCATTACTTACACGTTGGAGGCCGATTAAGCGCCTTTGCAACGTCAACCATGTTGACTATAACTGTCTTGATACCATTTCCTTTGCCCTCAACCTAAAGAAAAAAATAATTTTGCATTAGCTTCCCCAGGAGATGCAATCTTTAAAAATCTAGGAAAAGGGCTTAGGCCTCAAAACTAAAACTGACATCAGTATTACCTTGGCAATCAGACGGGGCATCTTGTAGCGATAGAACTGGTCTGACACACTGCGGTTGACATTGACAGACATTTTGGCTTATTAGTGGCTTTATCAATAAGATGAAGAGATCTTTGATTGCAACTTTTTGGTATCTTCTGTCTGGAGAAGAAGGGATGACATAAACGACTGCAAGAGTTCTCGGTCTCTGACATGAAAAAATTTTCGCCACTGAGGCTGTAAGCTTCTTGCTTGTATGCTATGTTTCCCCAATACAGGTACCAATGGCTGCGCAACAGCTCTGAAAGAGAAAGGAAGAGCACACACAACCCCCCTCCGTTCAGCGTGATTCCCGCAGGAGAAAGCCTCGCTTCACCTCCCGGTCAAGTGTGCCTCCTTCGGCTACATCGCGAAGCTTCCCAGTTCCCGGGAGGGGCAGCTAACATTCCCCTCTAACACGGAACACCTGTCGCCACATAAAAGGCCTCCGTGTGGACTAAGACAGGCCTCCAGCCGGGAGCCGCCAGGCTTCCCACAACAAACTGCACGGCCTCAGCTGCGCGGGGTTCACACCGGAGCCGACACCAGCAGCCCGTCGAAGGTTTGCTTCGGTGGAGCGGCCATATTTCAGCTGCGGACGGACGCATCCCCTCTCCTCCGCAGACAAGGCCTCAGCGATGGAAAGACTTCCCCGACTCAGCCTCCACCCCCCTCCGGCCCCGCCAGCCTCCCCGCTCAATCGGGCGGCCCTGGACCTCTCGTTCGGCACCTGGGGCTCATTCGGAAGAGACCCTGCCCCACCCCAGGACACGCGGGCTCGCGGGACTGTGCACGGACAGCGAGCCGACGACCGAGCACGACCGCCGCCGCTCCTCCCCGTCCCCGCTCTACGCACACACAGTCAACCTCCGCTCCGGCGCCCATGGCCACCGGCCGCTCCGCTCGGGGCAGGGACCCCGCCATGCGCGCCGCGGGAAACGACAGCGGCCGAGGGG